GCCTGTGGGTTTTATAGGGGGGTGGAGTAAGGGCAGGAGAGGGGACTGTGGGCCCCGCCAATTGGCCAGGCGCGAGTCGGTGTCTCATTACACAGGATGTGGTCATAGTGACGGCGTGCACTTCCCTTGATTATCATTGGTTAGTCCAGAGAAATCCTGGGTGTGGCTAGCAGGGGCTTCTTCCGGGAGGAAGCCTTGCCGAGCACATGGCTCTGCCCAAAAATGGAGGGCCCAGGGTAAGATGGAGGGCGTAGTCCTCGCCCTCCCAGCATGCTCCCGCTGGAGGCGCTGAGCTGCAAGGACGCAGCGCCTGGGGCTGGGGGGAGCCGGGAGCCGGGAGGAGGTGGGCACGGGCTTCCGGCACCTCTCGGCCCCTGACTCTGGTGGGTCACCCTGAAGAAGCGGAGCCCACTCTGGGGTTTTCAGCCACTCGAGCAAGCAGTTCCCTTACTGCGCGGGGTAGTCGGGGTGGTCAGAGGAACCCGACTGACAGGTCTCCGCGCTCGGTGTGAGCCATGCTCTGCACCCTCACGCTCCTCAGGCTCTGCCTCCGGCCTTGATGGCCCGCCCTACCCCCCCTTACCCCCCCCCCACCCCGACTGAATGTCCGCCGCCTCCCAAGTCCACTGACACGGCCCAAACGGGCGTTATTCCTGGCTCTCTCTCCTCCCCTGCCTTTATTCCCGGGCCAGAGAGCGAGCCTCCTCCAACCTCTTGCCATTTCCTCGAGGAGCCAAGGCCGCCGGTCCAGGCTCCGCCTCCTCGCGGGGCCTTACCGAGGTCACCCCCATCTTCCCGGGACCAGCTCCTCAGGGCGGCATCCGTGCAGCCACTGGGCCGGGCGCTCTAGGCTGCCACGCCCGTCAAAACGCCTCCTCGGCTCCCTGCTGCCGCCCGGGGCCGACCACTCTGGCCGTTGGCGGCCTCGGGACCACCCCCTCCAGTGGCTTCTCTGAGGCCGACTCCCCTCCTCGGCCCGGACTCCCGCTGGGGACACAGCCCTTTCAGATATAAGCGCTCTGATGTAGAGTTTTTAAGAGACCAGATTCATGTTGCAAGGCTCTTTTGGTTCTGTTCTAGAAAACATAATGCATTGAATTAGTCACTTACTAAGAATACAATTAATTTCAAGGCAGTCCTTCATTTCAAGCTTCTGTGCTGGGCAAATGAATGTTAACACCTTTAAGCCCTAACTCAATCTTTGCAACAACTTATGAAGTAGGTACCATAATCATTCTGATTTTATGTATGTGGGAAATGAGGCACAAAGAAGTTAATTGTCAGCTCTCTTTATGGAGCTTGCCCTTGCCTTTCCCCACCCCTTTTCCCTCAGGCTCTTTCTCCTAAGCTCCAAGAGTCCTTCTTCTGCCTCTGAAACATTTCCTGAGCCCATTTCTTCTACAGTTGGCTGTGACTTTCTAAATAAACTTGATCCTGTTAACATAAAAAAACCATTGAAACCTGTAAAGAATTTTTGTGAGTTTATTTGAGCCAGACTGTCGACATATGCCAGGAAGCAGATCCTCAACGAATTGAGATAATGCTCCGCAGAATGGCAGGTCACATCTATATTTATACATTGCAATCGAAGGAGGGACGTAGGTGGGTTACATGAAATTCATTGGTGATAGATTAAGGAGGTGGGATAAAGCAAAGCAGGGGGGGGACCCCTGGGATTGAATAAAAAGTAAAATGATAGACACATACTTAGGTGGATACAGGAACAATTAACATGATAATGAAGGAATTTGTGGTATCTGTCCTGGCGCCCAGCACATTTGGTTGTGCCCCAGGGGGTCCAGAAAAAGGGAAGTTACAAGTTACCCAGACACTTCAAGGGTATGTTATCATAGATGCAAAAAGACAGATAGGCTCAATTAAGGTAAAGGTTGACCTTGTCAGTGAAGATACTGGCCTAGGACATAACTGCCCACCTTAACTGCTTTTAGTTAAAGTTTAATTTCAGACCATCCTTTGTGGTTACTTTAGGTCTCTGAGTTTGCAAGACTGCCATGCAGGTCTCCCCTGAGCTTGTCAGGTCAGCATGTGGCCCCTTTCGTCCACACTCCTATAGTTTGTTTTGGCTCTGAATTCATTATAGCCGGAAAAAAAAAAAAAAAAAAGAAAGAAAGAAAGAAAGAAATTTTGTCAAGCCCTCACAGTTGCTAAGTGTTGAGATTATAATTTAAACTGAGTGAGTCTGGCTGCGGAGTCTATTTCTTAACCACTATACTATACTGTGTGAGCCATGTCCTGCGTGGTTCAGGGTTCGGGATCTGGAGAAGGGCCGTGTGCAAATGACGGAGACAAGACAAGAAATAATAATTTGGAAATATTGGGGGCCAGGCGGGAAGCCCAACACAATGGGAAGGACTTCCACTGGTGCCCAGGCCTTGCCAACCTTTTATTCAATTTTGGATACACATATAGCCCTTAGTCAGGCAGGCAATTCCGGTAACAGGCTATCTTAAAGGTCAGTAAATATTAGTAAAGATTTACTCTGAGACTATTTGGTCAGGAAATTGCTTGAGCCACCGCTGTCTCGACTAAACAATTGGTGCGTAGCTCTGGCCCTTGCCAGGGCTCAAGGTTCACCAGCATTCCGGGCTCCTTATTTACACTTCTCTGATAGTGAAGGCAATGGGTAGCTTCCAACACTGTACTTCTCATGAGATGGCACTTGAGCAGAGACCTAAATAATGACAGGAGAGACTCGTGAGCCGTTCTGGGGTAAGTGCTCCAGGTAGAAGCAAACCCATGATATAAAAGTATGTAGGGCTTTGTTTCAAAGAAGAGCAAGGCCAGTGTGGTATCAAGTGGGAATGATTAAAGCGAATGGTTTCTGGGCCTTGGGAAGGATTTTGGTTCTCATTTTTAGAAAAATACAAAGCCATTGGAGGGGGTTAAACGGGGTAATGTGATTTATGATGTACTATAGAATTATATATTTGAAACAGTATGATTTTTATTAACCAATATTATCCCAATAAATTTAATAAAAATATTGTGGTTGCTGTATGAAGACTAAGTCGGAAGCAGAAAGCCTAAATATTTAATAAAATTCAATGTGTCAAAATTATACACACACATATTAGAGTCTTCTTATTTTCAAAAACTAAACTATATAGTTCCTAAATATGTTTAGCCAGTTAAATATATTTTAGCAAAAAATGTTATAAATCATAGCAATACTCTAAAACATTTGTAGACTTTTAGCAACTGTTGATGTGATCTTTTGTTTGATGTGGCTGCCACTAGCTAAATGATGTCCCTGTCTGAGACATGCCTTGACACAGGGGGCCCATCAAACTCTTCTACTGACATTCCCATTAAATGAATGGTCCTCAGGTCCTTGGCACCCAGCATCTGGTTGCAGCTGGAAGGTGGCTGGTGAACTGCCTGGGTTCTATAGCTAGATTTACCCTTGGGTGCCAGGGCATTCTGCACCACCTGGACTCAGAAAATCCTTCCTCTCAGCCCCACTATGCCCCAACATTGCCTGCCCTGCAGTTTGGGTCACCTCCACACATGGGCTGCCACTGAGCAGCAGGCAGGCACTTGCACATACTCTTACTGCTGGTGTGGCAGCCGCCTTCCAGGTCTTCTCAGCTGCCCAGGGGTGGGAGTGGAAGACCTGCATCTGTGCCAGAACTGCCCACCTCCCTGTAGTCATTGTTGGGGGAAGTTTTATTAAGATAGACTTTTCTTTAGCAACCATACAGAAGTGTTTCAGTATTTTAACAATTGATACAGCTGCATTCATATGTTCTGGGTGATGAGCACCCAGCTTGGAAGTGGCAGAGGTAGAGAGAACAGGTCATATACTGGGTATATTTTGAAGGTAGACCGAACAGATTTTGCTAATAGATGGCATGTGAGGTATGAAAGGTGTCATGTATGACTCCCAGATTTTGGCCTGAGTGATTGGAAGAAGGCTTTGTTACTGAAAAGGAAGCATTTGGTTTTAGACACCGTAAGTTTTAGATGAGTATTATTCAAATGGAGTTTCTAGTACCTGTTTGATGTATAAGTCTAAAGTTCCACAGAGTGGTTAGAAGTATTCAGAAATGAACTCAGTAAACTGATCATTTCCATTCCTTGGGTTATAACACTAGTCTTTTGTGTAAGACAGGATTTGAATATGTTTGATTCAGTGTCATTTCTCTCCTATTTCAATGTCCATAAATGAACTAAAAGAAATACAAAATAAAAAATCTGTATAAAAAGCTACTCAAGAGCTCAGTTTTCTGTTGTTTACTCATGTGGAATGCAGGAATTAAGAATAAACCCATAGCTTATTAGCCTAGTACTTTTCTCTGTGCCCCTCCCCCTCCCTGGAAGATGCAGGAGCTAAAGATGATTTAATAGAAGTTTGATAGGAAATCTCACATTAGCAATTGAGGTAAAGCTAAATTTATATATGCCAAGCCTGATTCAGATCTTTCTGGGAAGTAATGTGTAGTTTTAAGATGGGGAGGTGGGAGACTCAAACAGTTACAGAATTTCTATGACACATCAAGTTCAGATAGAAAGCATAGAGAACATTTTAAAACTTGGGATGAAATGAAAAAAAAAATAAAACAAAAAGTAGAGTTTTCTTAAGACAACAATCTCTAGGAGATAGAGATAGAGATAGAGATAGAGATAGAGATAGAGATAGAGATAGAGATAGAGATAGAGATAGAGATAGAGATAGAGATATAGAGAGAGAGAGGAGGGACACAGAAAAAAGTACTAGGCTAATAAGCTATGGGTTTATTCTTAATTCCTGTATTCCACATGAGTAAACATCAGAAAACTGAGCTCTTGAGTAGCTTTTTATACAGATTTTTTATTTTGTATTTCTTTTAGTTCATTTGTGGACATTGAAAGAGGAGAGAGAGGTATCTCAGAGGTGTTATCACTATATGATATCTCTTTCCCATGCCTCTAAAAATGTATTGTTTTTTCTTGAGATTTAACCAGGGATAATTTTGTGAAAGAAGAATCACAAAACCACAGTGAATACAAAGAAAATATTTTAATAAAATATTCAATACAACATTTCCCTGTGGGGGCCCTTATGGAGAAGTGAGAAGGTGAAGGAAATGACTATCATTGTTGGGAATCCAGTCCTGAAATGAGAGGGGGATGTTCTTAGCTTTTCCCCTGAGCTTGTTGCCCAGTTCCGCCAACAGGCAGCCATGAGGAGGACCAGGAAATCTCCAGAGGTCATTGTGAAGGACCAAGTGGATGAACAGATAGAGCTCAGCAGTTTTTGCCTCGTGCTTTTTACCAGGTGCAGTGTCATGGGAAAGGCAAAGGCAACATATTGGTTGATATATAAAATATGTTAATACAATTTTAGTTTCCCCTCCCCCTCCTATTCTATTTGTACTTTCAGAGTGAACAATAGAAACAGAGAGACCCGTGGGTTCATCCACTAAGCATTCCAGCAGAATCCTTCCTTGGCCACCTTTCGTATTCAAGGTCCATTACTATTAATGTGATTGTGATTTCAGACAGAGAGGAAACGAGAGCGTACTATTCTCTACACATAACTTAAGCGTATCACTGCAAATATTGCATGTATGAAACAAGTGTGAGCCACGAATCCTCCCCCTTGTGCATTACTGTTTTACTGATAAAGAAAGTGCCGTTGTTTGAATATGAATATCATTTAGTGCATTAGGATGTACAGTCTGGTAGTGCCCTGCATACAGCGTCCACACTTGCTACAAAGACATCCTTGGGGCCGTCTTGCTGTCATGATTCTGGTGTGCTTCCTTCTGGAGTCATGAACTGCACCTTTGGCACGATGAGGGACGAGTTGTTCCTCCGGATGGAGTTGTTCCTCCTCATGGAATTATTTCTCCTCATGGAATTGCGCTTCCTCAGAGAATTCTGATGGGACAGTTCGCTCTTCTGGAGAGTCTGGATGAGGATGGAAGGCTTCTCATCCAGCTCTCGGGCACTGCACCTGGGGGCAGCTACTTTCACAGTGTTGCCAAATTTGGAGTAATCCACAGAATACACTCCCTCCTCCTCAGTGACAATAGACACGAAGCGATGGCCCCACTGGATCTCCTCAGCGATGTAGGAGGTTCTTGCTTGCGTGGTAATGCCGGTAGTTTCGACCACTCCTTCTAGAATCACTATGACCTCCAGGTCTTGGTTGGCCAGGTCAGTAGCTGAGATATCATACAAGGGGCTGCGCTTGTCAATCACGTGGCAGATGATTAAAGGGGCCACTAGAAAAATGTTATTACTCTCAATCGGGTTATCCACAGGAATGTCGAGTTGGTGAATAGGCACCACCTCCCCTTCCGGGGTGGTTGTTTTCTTGACCACCTGGATGCGCACCGAGGCACTAATGATCATGCTTTTCCTCAGGTCGCCCACGCGGAACATGAAGCACAGCTTGCCATTTCGAACAGCAATCACGGCATGGCGACTGAATATCAACGTTTCTGCCCTCCTGTGAGCCTGAGCTGTTTTCATGAAAATGCAGCCCAGCATGACGGCATTGATGATCAAACCCACGATATTCTGCAGAATCAACACTGTGATGGCCAGAGGGCATTCCTCTGTCATCATTCTCCCTCCAAACCCAATTGTCACTTGCACCTCAATGGAGAAGAGAAAAGCAGAGGCAAAGGACCTGTGAGAAATAATATCAGAAAGTAATGCCATCAGATCACGTTTTGACTGATGAAATAACATACCAGGCTCATTTTCCCTTCAATGTCAAAAACATTATTTTTCTAGGATGAAATGTCCCAAACTAAATTTGTCATCTTCTTCCGCCAAAGGCTATTACATGCCTTTGGAAAGACGAGCCAACTTAACTTGTCAAATGCCTAATTCTAAACCCAAGCACTTGTGTTCTCTCTCTTCTCTGCATACATCTACTTCCAGACTTCTAGGGTACAATACTACAATGTTTTCTAGGTCATGTAATAATTGGCCTACTTGTATGAAAGCTTTAACATAATAGAAATACATGTTCGCAGGAATATTTTACTTTGTGAAATAATGTACTTTCACAAAGGCATAGTTTATTTGTGGAAATTTCTGCCAGGTAGATGTTTATTATGTATTGCATGTCTGTGTTTAAGTGACTTGAGTCATAAGGAAGGTACTGAGTAGTGAGTGTGCTTATCACTCACTACCTTTGACTCATATTCACTAGCTAACACTTAGTGTGTGTTCCTCATATACAGGAAGCACAGTGCTAAAAAGTGGTGTAAGACACCGGTATTTTAATAACTACTATTTTTAATTAAAAAGAATGTTTCGCCATTTGGAAAGAAAAATGTGTTCTTACTGACTTTCTTATTTTGTTCTGTAAGTGATCTTGAGAACGCTAAAGCTATTAAAGGGAGAATTCGGAGCAGAGATGAGCAAATGACTGTACAAGATCACAAAATTAATAATAACTTGAATCCCCTCAATGCTGGCCTAGTGCTTTGAAAGGGCAAAGGGAAGGGGTCAACAAGTGTCGGGATTTTCTAGGGGAGCTTTTGCAAATTGGGTATTTCTTCTGTATCTCTATGAATTACACACTGGTTTGGTAGGTTTAGGGTGGACCTGGGTAAGACTCTAAAAAAGCTCTCAGGTGATGCTGATTTATCCCCCTGGTTAAAAGCACTGCATTTCATTATTCTTATCATTAATTTATTCACTTAACTACATATCCATTACTGCTGTAGCTTCCTATTAGAAATGACGTTAGCCCTGTGTTTCCCTCAACTCCACTGTCAAGCTTCTCTAATTTTATAGACGATAAGCCTCCTGTCAAAGTATTACCTACCTGCTGCTGCCACACACAAAGAGTGAGCAAAATGTTTAAGCGTTTGAAAGCTGTGTATACACACTGCACTTTGGTGGGACATCATGAGGTGGGAACAAGTATACACAGATTCTTTCTACTAGCTTTTAGGAGGAACATGCAACTTTATTTCCCTTTTCACCCTTTTTGTTGCTAAAAAGATTCATGGAAAACCACAATAGTTGCCTTTCCCACTAGTTGCACACAAAATATATCATATGATCTAAAAAGATGGTAACAGCCTGGCTGGCCTGGTTTAGTGGTTGCGGTTTGATTCCCAGTCAGGGCACATGCCCAGGTTGCTGGCTCAATACCCAGTGTGGGGCGTGCAGGAGGCAACCAGTCAGTGATTCTCTCTCATCATTGATGTTGTTATCACTCTCTTCCTCTCCCTTCCTCTCTGAAATCAAAAATATATTTAAAATAAATAAATAAATAAACAAACAAACAAACAAATAAACAAATAAAAAGATGGCAACGGATAAGAATGGACCCCAGAGGAGGGGCATGGACACAATATTGATTTCTAATAATATTCACACACTTTGAAGAGCAGCCTAATGTTGACTATCTTTAAATGTTTAGTTATAATGGCTTGAGAGGCTATTCAGGGGCTAATAATGTTTATTGCTTATTTTATGAAATAATTTAATTCTAAACATTATATAGTGCAAGACCCAGCCTTGTATGGACACCTGTCATGCTAAACAACCTCAAGAGATGCAAGTGTTTAGCTGCTTGTTTGTTCTACTACAGAGGATGTTAGGTTGAATAATAGAGGAAATATGTTGATTAATTTTCTGACTCATGTTAGAGAGTTATCCCACATGAAAGGGAAAGTGAGCCATTCTAAAACGGGAATGGTAAAATGTTATTTGGACATACCAGTGAGTATGCATCACAATAAGTTGTTTCCAATTATGATGATATGGTAAGAAAATGGGCTTATGAAAGACAGGAAATGCAAAGAATTATAAATGTTATTACTCATCTTTTAAACCCTCTTTGGGAGAGAATAGAAATTTTTCTGTTTCTATATTTTGGGTAAAAATTTGTTATTATGTATGGTTTGTTATGATTAAACTGTGTGCTGAGATTAAAGTATCAATAGCATCATACCATTAAAATAAAACTTGTAACCTTAAAGATGTCAACAATTTTTTTAGATAAAAAGGCAACTTAAAAGGCTAACATTATTATGCTGATAAAATCAACTTTGTCTCACTGTATTTTTGACACCATTTCTCATACTTAACATTCACAGCAGCAGGAATACATCAGGAGAATAGCCATGCTTCAAAACACATCTTGTTGATAAATGGGAGCTAGGGTAAAAGAGCTTCTAGCAATTAGTGCACTCTATAAAGTTCTCAAAAAAAAAAAAAAAATCATTGAAAAGCCATCACTTTTGATGATTCCCCCAATTGCTTAATGACTTCTTTTTTTTTTTTTTTTTTTGAGGAAAAGCCAACATGTTTATCTCATAAATAAAATATGTCAAGGTTTATCATTTTTATTTTTTATCTTTTTATGAGTGCCTACTGCATATTTATTAAAAATGTATCCTAATATGAAGATAATTCACCAATATAAATGTCAATAAATATCTTAAAGAGAAATACAGATAATGATATTTAACTTAAGGTACCTGTTAAACACAGTATTTTCATTATTTCCTTTATATCTGGGGTACTGATGATCTCCTACATTTTTTACCTTTACTTTTTATTTGTGACAAGTTTAATACAAGAAAATATCTACTCAATGGTAAAGGCAATGGATCAATTCCATATAGTTTTCTTTCCTCATAATCCAAGCTGGAATCTGTGGAATGTGATCTCTGCGCACAATCCCCTTGGCATGCTGGCACTGTGGACACTCAGGAAATGGAAAGATGGCAAGTTCAGGGTCTAGGTCTCTGCTTCTTGCAGTGGTTTGCTAGTTTCCTAAGAAGTCAGGGTCAGTAAAGGTCTCATTCTTTACAGTTTCCTGGCAGAATGGTGCTTGCTCAAGTTGCTTCGCTTGATGCATTATATGAATTAGAAATATCATTCATAAAGTGTCCTGGGAAAGTTTCTAGTGTTACTACTAGTGTTTTGCTTCAGAATGAACATTTTTTGAAAGCGATATAAATTACCTCTTTCCATCTCCCAACAACAGCAAAAAAAATTAAGAGACAAATCATCCCAACTAAATGTTTTTAGGCCATGTGAAAATATGAGAGAAGATTCACTGAAATCAAGTTCACTGGACTTATCTTTGAGATACTTATGATATAAGAGAAAGAAGCAAAAGTTAGGCAATCTAAAAAGTGTCTTGTTCTTATCTTATTAAAACTTTTGAAGACAACCACAACGTGAAGTCACCTCTACATAATCTCTTCCATGAAAAATTTGGACTAATTTCCATTTAAAATTAATATCTTATAGTCCTGAATCTTAGCATAACTTTTCATTCTGGAATCCAATGCAAGCAATCAGCTATTTAAAATATTCTTGTTAAAGATGGGCTTATATTTATTTAGTTCATTTTATGGATTTCAAATCTAGGGCACCTCTCCACCAGTGTCTTCCCATTTTTCTCATTATTTCTGAAAATGTCATGGGTAAGAGAAGTCATGGAAATATATTACTAGCATTTGCACAACATTTTTTCCTGATCAAAGATATCTACTTGTGAACACTGGAAATATGGACAGCAGCTTTTTCAGACTGAAAACTAAATATGTGTGCTTCTTTTTTTTTATTTTTAATTTTTTTAATAAGGCACTCTAGAATCCTTTGAGCCACAACCATTTTTTAATAACTGGCCTAGGATTTTCAAGGCTAGCCCATGGGATTGGAGCTTTACATTTTCAGAGATGCCTCATCCATAAAGCTACATTAAACAAAGATTTTTAATATGTTAGATTAGCTTTGTTGCTTCTGAAGTTACTAAAGCAAATCCTTTATTTCACAGTCAACAAACTGGAGTGACAAGAGAGCAGTTTCATTTATTTTTTTCTATATTGTTCTTGACCCCTGCTTCATCCCACCGCATTCTTACCTGACGTTAGTCACACACACAGCGGAGTCCAAGCCACTTTTCTCCATTCCGCTTTTCTCCATGTAAGCATAGATGTCCCCGTGGGCAAAGGCCACCAGCCACCACATGATGGCGAAGAGCAGCCAGCTGCAGAGGAACGACATGGTAAAGATGACCAGCGTGTGGCGCCATTTCAGGTCGACCAAGGTAGTGAAGATGTCCTGAAGGAACCGGCCCTGCTCGCGGATGTTCTTGTGCGCCAGGTTGCAGGCCCCGCTCTTGGCGATGAAGCGGGCTTTGGCGAGGCGGTCTCGGATGCGCGGCTTGCGCAGGTTCTCCGCCGCGATGCGCGCCAGCACATACTCCTCCGGGATGATGCTCTTTCTGGCCAACATGGTCCTGTCACCATCGCCAGCCTAGCCACCTGCCTCTGATCTGCCTCTCTTCCCTGGAGACCTGTCCTCCTGCAAAGGGAAAGGATGATTAAAAACCTCCCCTCCCACCCTCTCTTCCTCGCCTCTGCAGTCCTTGCATTTAGGGTTCTGTCCATACACTTGGAGGTGACAGGCAAAGCTAAAGGTAGGGTTTTATTAATCTTAACACGGAGTTAGTTTGGGCTTCACTTCTGGGATCCCAGAGAAATAATTTGGTTCGAAGCAGAACTCTTTCAGTGGCCCTTATCATTTTGAACATGGATGGGTATAGTCTTACTTAAGCAAAACGTGGAGGCTGTAAGCAGCAGGCTCAAAGATGAATCTCGGCGATTTGCCGCGTCTGTAGATTAACGCAAGCATGCAAGCACGTGGCGGCGCCTAGAAGGAAAATTAAGGCCAGATGGGCATCGTGGTCTATTTACGAAAGTATTTACAGGATAGAGCAATAGAAAAAGTTGAGAAGGGAAATTCTTCCTTCGTTCTTTTTAGAAGTAGGCGAAGAAGAGGCCGTGGTCTCTTGCGCAGTATAAATAACGCCTAGTGTCACTTGACAAAGTAACAAGCGACGTGCCATGAACGCGAAAATTACGAACAAGTATTTTAAATGTGAAAGAAGTATGAGTTGTACTTAGAAATACTCCCCATTGAGACTCGTGATATTATACATTGAAAACTTCTTTGCAACGAAGGAAGCAAACATACAAGCTGCAGGGAAAACCCGGAACATAGCCCCGCGGGCTCGCAGAGAGAGTTAAAAGCGTGCCCCGAAAAGTCCATCCAACACTGCAAACCTCTGCTGTGTTTCTGCATTTTAAATCTCTAGCGGGGACGCAGACAGCCGGGGTCCCCGTCCACTCCCCGGGAGGAGCGCTGAAACTTACAGAGTCCGCACAGCGGGTGGGGCGGCTGCACCTTCCCGCAGACGCCGGCGGACCGTGGGCAGGTCCCTCGCGCTCCCATCCCAGCGCGCCAGAGCCGGGATCGCGAATGCCGGAGGGACGGGTCCCGGGGCGCGCGTCCTGGGAAGAAAAGTTAAAATAATAAAAGGTGCAATTGCATCTGAACGCGGAAAGGACTGGAGGAAGGGGGATGTGTGTAGCTCTTCCCCTCCCCCTGCTCGGCTGTACTCCCTTGGCCTCCGCAGTGGGCGGAGGAGGGGCTGGGGGTGGGGAGCGGGGGGAGAGGAGCTCGGTGATGATGCTCCACAAATCAGCCTCCCAGTTCGGGCTTTGACGCGCGCCAGACCTCTGAGGCCGCCGAGGTTGTGGAGTGGGGGCTGGAGAAGTGCTGGGGCGGTCGCGGGGTGGGAGTGGGGGGCGCATCCGGGGAAGATAGGGAGCCGGCCAGAGGGAGGGGCAAAGGTAGGAGGGCGGGACCTGTACACCAGCTCATTTTCCAGTAGCTCTGACCCCTGCCGCCAGCTTGACACGCTCTTCTTTAAAAGGCTCCCTGCTCAGGGGAGAGAACTTTGAGTCTAAGTTCACTGACGTAAAGAAATATTTTTTTTTTCTGTAAAGTTGGTAAATAACTGGACTACTTCAGATGGAATAAAACCAGATAGAGAAATAAGAGAAGTAGTCTTTGGAGGTTTTCAAGCTGTCGAGCACACACATTTATTGATATTAAATTTCCGTCTAGTAAGGATACAGGTGGAAGATGTTCTGAAAACCATCATAGCAAACTATTTCTTCACTAGCCAGATCATCTAGCTCTCAGGAAATTACACACACACACACACACACACACACACACACCCCCCAAGGAGAAGAAACAATAATAATTTTTTAAAAACCACTCAGAGTGTCTTCCATTGAGAAATTTTACCCCAAACAGGGACCGCTGTCTGCACTTTAAAACTCAAACGGTCCTTCTTCAGTACGAGGCTGCTCTCTGAAATGCTGCAGCTTCCCCATCCTGTCGCGATGGTCTGAATGGTTAAGCAGAGCGATTGTGCAGGAGAAAGGTTTTGCATTAAATGTGTTTCTATAGCTTTCTGAAAAGGAGCCAGCAAAGACAAATGGCTTCCTCCACAGGTCAAGCCTCCTGGCTTGGCACTTGTCTTAATGGAAACTTTCATTCTTGGAAATTTCGTGTATTTTCCAAGACCCAGGGCAGAAAGTGTATGGAGCATAAACAGTGCGTTCATGTAGTTATCAAAAGACCTAAAATGAGTCTTTAATGAAGGCAAACAAAGAACATTTTTTCTTCTTATGGACAGATCTGCTTAACCCCTTCAAGCCCGAGGGTCCTCGCCTGACAGCGGTAGCTCTCCTCTCTTCTGTCGCTAATTTTTATAGTAAACGATGTGGTAGTTTTACTGCAAGAGGGTGGGGATCAGTTTGTATCGCTAATGCCCTCATTCTATTTTACAATTGCATTTGGTACTACATATGCCCTCTTATTTTAGCTCGGCTAACATTCATTAAACATCTATTTTGTGAAGGTTTTTGTTAGGTTTATATATATCATAGTTTCTGTTCTTAGGGAGGCAGACAGTTTATAGCACAGAGAGATAAGACCTGGCCGGTGTGGCTCAGTGTTACAGCGTTGGCCCTGGCACTGAAGGGTCTCGGGTTCGATTTTCTTGTCAAGGGCACCTACCTGGGTTGCAGGTTCCATTGATCCCTGGCCTCTCTCCTTTTTCCTACTGCCCTCCCATTCCACTATCTCTAAAAAAAGAAATCAATGGAAAAAACCCTTGGGTGAGAATTAAGAACAACAACAACAACAAAAAATGGAGAGAGACAATACCTTGACAATAAACTCTAATACAAACAAGGATGTGATTAGAAATGCCATGAAAATTTAAATGAGAGTTATTGAGACTAAAGAGACTGAGAAAACTTTGTGGATTATTTGGCATCTAATCTAGTCTTTGAAAGACCAGATATATTTGGGGTACATAGAAAAGCAGAGAAAAGACATTCTAAAGAGAGGAAACATTATGAAAAAAAGTTAGAGTATTGACAAGAGTGGTCCATGTTTTAGTAACAAATTAATTTAGTCAACATTGATGAAGCCTGGTCAGCAAAATAGCAGTATTTTTTGAGTCCAATCCTCCCTGGGCAGTTTCCATCACCCCCACTCTCAACATATGATGGGTTACTCATGTACTGGTCCCTTCACCGCCACACAAAAAAACCATGAAACTAAGGGCTGCTGAAGAGCAGGACTGTGACTTGCTTATCTTTGTATCACAAGCCAAATCACAGATCAAATTACAGAGGTGCTCAAAGAATCCTTTCGAATCAATGAATGGAAAGATAAGGTTGAAAAGCATGTTGGGACCTTGGAAGAAAATGCAGACAACCTTAAATGCTGAATAAAAGAGCCTGGGCAATCTTTAGTAGGTAGTGGTAAGCCATAGAAAGAGAATTTGATTAAAGAAAACACAGTTAGGGACTGCTTTAGGAGGACTGATCAGGAAGCAGAGGCTCCAGAATACTGTGATTGGCAGACAGAAACTACTGCATTGATTAGAGAAGGAATAAATATATACACAAATATATGTTTACATACATTTCTCTATTGCTCACTGATAATACATTTGTATATTGCTCACCGATATTGTCAGTGAACAATAGACAAATATATACAAAAGGAATGATATACAGAGTCAATATTGGGAAGGGAAAGTCAAAGGTGATGGGATATTAATTGGGGCGACAAATATAATAGGAAAATTGAAATGAGAAGAGATGAACTGCTGAAAAAAATTATGAGATTTGCAACAAGTAAATCTATATCTGAATTCTATGAAAATGCTGTTCTTTAGCTATAATGTATACACAGAACTCAATGTTTTCCCCTAATGAGATATATTCTTCCAAGTATGCCATTTTAAGTCGTTTTGACTTGTTTTAAACTGACAAGCGATACCATACTTTTTATTAGTCAGCAATGTAAGTTCATTAATTAAGAATAAGGGCACTAATACATACAAAATAAAGGTCAAATTTTAAGAAATTGAGAAGTAAATTTTGACAATAGAATGCCTAAAAACAAATAGCCATATAAAAAAGGTATGAATGTGTATTATAAAAATATTATATGTTTTCTTTTTTCTTTTCTTTTTCCATTCCCTTCCTAACATTTTTTAAAAACCAACTCTTTATGTGTTTTTATTTTAACTAGTGTTTCCGCACTGGGTGGAAGCTGCATGAGCACAAGTTGTTCGTTGTTATCACCACACACCCAGTATCTGGAATTGTTCCTAAGTCTGAGAAGCAGGTCCTCGGTAAATACTTGTCAAATGAAGGAAAGAAGCAACAGTACTCCAAATAGGGTGTTTCTCTCTTTCTTGCATTTTCTCATTTCTCTTCCCCTCATGGTTTTGCAAGCATTTCTTACAGTCCACACAGATAACCTGAAGTTTGGAGATCTCTTTGAAGCCTATGGCCTTACCTGTCTGCAAATATGCCCTTCCTCATTACCTCTCTTTATCCCATTGTTTTCCTCCCTTCAGATTATTCACTCCCTCTTTCCTCAGCAAATCCCCTAACCCACTCCAGGTCAGCAATATGTAAACTTGTTTGGCATTTGCTGGCTATGTTTCTCTTTATAACTTGATTTTGAACTTAATGGAAACATACCTGTAACCCCCAAAGTCCTTCTGGACAAACAGTAGCTGCTCAAAAATATTAATTATTGATTGATCTCTAGTTTCTCCCCATTTGGCTCTTCCTCTTATATTATGGTCCAGTACTGAACATTTAAATTTTCCTCTGAAAAATTTGTGGAGGAAATCAATTACTCTCTTAAGAACCCATAGGCTTATTTTAATGATTTATTTATTTAAGTACTATTTTGCTGTCAACCACTAGAATACATGCACTTTCTTAACTGTTCTATAATTTTCCTAATTGTTCTTTTAGGAGTGAAGACTCATTTGTGCAGTACTTCTAGGGGAGACCAGTAATAAATTTAGAACAGAGCTAAAGTTTAAAATCTTACGATTTTCTTGAATATTTAAGAATCCCGGTAGAATCTGTTTATGTTGCATACCAGAGGAAGTTATGCAATTGGAAAGCAATTCAGGAATATCTGTTCACTTGTAAGTAAATATCTGTTAGGTTTCTTTTAGACCCTATGAGCATTTTATTTGTGGATAAAGAAGTTTCTGAAAGCCTCATTCTCCAAAGAAACCTACAATTTGACTTACCTTCAAATAATTGGAGAAAGGTAGATGCTTTTACCCACTTGTCTGCTGCAGTGACTACCAAATACAAACCAGTAAAGTCCTTGAGATAAAGGGTGAAATCCTCACATACGGTGACCTTGTCTTTGACTTGACTTGTGAATTTTTGAAGTCTTGGATTTCCTGAGCTATATGGATGTAAGAATTTGAATAGTCTTCAAAATGATAATGGAAGCGATTCATGTTAACAGCCCAAATAAAGGTTGGTCTATTTGCTTGGTATGCTGCTTTATTAGTGTCCTCATATAAACCACATATTGGAACATATTGCTTTGGAATCAGCTTAATAAAACTGTTACATAAACTAGTAATCAAAACAACATGTTATCAACTCACTTTTTTTTTGGCGTTATCATGAAATGAGAATAACAGTATAACTCTTCGAACTTATCTTTTCCAATGAGCTCAGAGAACATATCTTTTTGAGATATATAACTATTTATGTGCAAAAAGCTTCACTCTCCCTTAAGTTAGGTAGCCCCATTTTTGAAAGTTATCCATCAGAACCATTCATGAAAAAAGACCTCCATTGAGTTTGCATGGTCAATTCTTCAATATTAGTCCTGCTCTCAGGTGAATCAGAAAGTCGGGAAGGGGACACTAATAACAATAACACCTAAGTGAACAAAACAAAGTCCCCGCTACAGTGCATCCTTGGAAAGGAAGCCATTTGTTAGCAACCAACTAGACAACTTATACATTATGTAATTATCAATGGTGTCAAGATTGATAAAGAGAACAAGGCAGGCCAAAGATTGAAAGTAACTGGGGCCAGAGATCAGCAACGTTCCAGAGAGTTGAGAAAAGACCTCTTTTAAAAGGTGACATTTGGGTGGTGAAGGCCTTTGGGTAGGGGGTGAGGGTGGGGGTGGGCCAGAAGAAGTCAATGGGGGAGGACAGGGGGACATATGTAATACTTTCAACAATAAAGGTAAAAAAAATAAAAATAAAAGGTGACATTTGGA